CCCTTTTCTTTTATATTTATTGTTAGGGGGAAGCCCTCAATAGTATGGACCTAGTGCAGAATCTAATTCTTATATATTTTGGGGAATACCCTTGTGTCCTACAATGCGAAGTTATACGTTGCTTCCCGCTCGGGAATTTACCTGTCTAGTCTAGATAAACAGGAATTCGGTTTTATTTGTTCTTCAATTTGCTTAACTTTGAAGAGAGAGTACCTAAACAAAAGAGTGCCTACAGAATCAGATAATTAAGTTAAAATGTCGTCTGACGAGGATCCAAACCCAAGTGCAAGTGTAAGAAGAAAACAATATCTACAATATTATAGAAAAGAATGGGAAGAACAACTTCCAGGTTGGCTGCAAGATAGTCGTAAAGGCGAAAGCTATGCCTATTGTAAGAGTTGTAATAAAGATATCCACATCACATCAGCAAATTACGCTTCATAGAAACATAGCTCTTCACAAGCACACTCAGTGTCATCAAATAATATGAAATCACAACCGAAGATATCATCTTTATAATTTTATTTTTTTAAGCATGTAACTGCTTGATGTTTAAATATACAGAAAATATAACTAGAAAAAAATCCACGCGGACCAGGCAGTAGACGGGACTCGAACCCTTTTTTTTTCTAGTTATATTTTCTTTATACGAAGATATCATCATTTACTGTGACCAAAACTCAAAAATCTGATATACTGGTTAAGCAAGGTAATTTTTTTTTTAGTTATTTATTTTACTGTTATGTGGAGCTCGATGGCGCAAGTGGTTAGCGCGTTCGGCTGCGATCGTTGAATTTAAGCAACTTTCGCAGTGGTCGGTCATTGGATGGGTGACCAAAAATTACTATCTCGAGCTCCTCCGTGCTTCGGAAGGCACGTTAAGCCGTTGGTCCCGGCTGCATCTGCAGTCGTTAGCACCCACCAATCCGCACTGGGCCCGCGTGGTGGGTCATGGCCCAATCTCCCTATTCCATCCATAGGGAAGGCCTGTGCCCCAGCAGTGGGGACATTAATAGGCTGATGATGATGATGATTTATTTTACTACTTACATTGTTACAATATTTTGTTTTCTACTTATCGGTTTATAGAAGCAGTGGATATAATTATACCCTCTTGGGAATGTTTAGCCGCTGCTCCCCACTAGCGGAATGGAATAATAAAACGGCAATACTGGGTCAACTTATCAGGACTATATTTGGAAATATTCACAATTATAAAAATACAATACGTATGGACGAAATTTTATCTAAAGTCTCTTTTTTTAGAATGACAATTAAAAATCCAAAAGAAAATATCAAAAAAAAACATAATCATAATAAAACTAAATTTCTAATGTGCCAGTGCCTACGGAATCCTAAGATAGACTGCCTGTATGGCGACATGGACCAACATTTATGCGGTGCAAAGTCGCCACACCCTAATCGCTACTATAAACCTTCGTAATTTTAATTCTTTATTTTTAATTTCAGTTGATAAGATTAGCCTCGTTTGTTGCTGAATACAGTCTACCATTCACTATTATGGAGCACTTACCGAAGTTGATACAAGCCGTTTGTCCTGATTCAAAAATAGCAAAAGAAATAGAATGCTCTTCGACCAAAAACTCATGACATAATTGATCATATTAAAGGAAAAAAAGTTTCAATAATTTATGTGAAGATCTAGGGCAAACTAAGTTTTTGCTTATTACTGACGAGTCGACTGATCTTAGTACAACCAAACACTTGTGCCTAGTTGTGAAAGATGCGAAAATGAATCGTAATAAAGATTGTTTTTTAGCTCTTATTCCATTAGAAGAAGCTAATGCAGCAACCTTATTTGAACACATTGTAAACTTTTTTAGAAGCAATAGCATTCCATATAAAAATAATAGGTTTTGCATCTGATGATGCAACCGTAATAATGGGACGTAATAATTCTGTTGTAACAATGCTGCAAAATGAAATTCCCAGCATTTTTATACTTAAATGCACCTGCCAATCGTTTCATCTTTGCGCGTCATATGCTTGTACCAAATTGCCGCGCTTTTTATAGGATCTTGTAAGAGACATTTACAACTACTTTTCTTCTAGCCCAAAAAGAGTAGCAGAGTTTAAAAACTTTCAAATGTTTTGCGACTTAAAAGTATATAAAATACTTCACCCCTCTCAAACACGCTGGTTATCAGTACGTGCAGCAGTGAAGAGAATATTGGAACAACTCTCTGCTCTAAAACTATTTTTTATAGACCAAATCTCTAACAATGGTCATCTTTTAGCTGCAGAACATATATTACAGAAGCTCCAAGATCCCACAACAATATTATTTTTGGAATTTTTAGATTTTGTATTACCATTATTTACCGATTTAAATAAAGAAATACAAACAGAACACCTGAAAATTCATAATTTATATGAAAAAATAACTGGAACATTAAAAACTATTTTTGTTTTTTTTTTATTAAGAGAATATTTAACTAGCACTTCAATCGAAAATCTTAATTTTAAGAATCCCAGAAATTTTATGGATATTGACGCCGTATACTATGGTGTTGCTGCGTCTAATACACTACTAAGTAGTTCAGAAAATCTAAACTCAGATCGGTTTCCATTGAAAAATAACTCAATAAAAGGTTGAGATATATAATTGGTCCAAAAAATGTGAAAAATTTGCAAAACTGCTTCGATAGTTCCTGTGAGTAGGCTCTTTTCCAATATTGTTCACACCAATGATTTCCAGGAAATTGATACAGAGAGGCGCATTTTAAGAAATTGTGAACAAATCAAATCATTTCCTGATAATGTAGAACTATTTTGGGATGAAGTAAGTTTACTAAAGCGTGGCGATGAAATTCAAATGTTTCCTTTGTTGTCTAATTTAATCTTTAATATTTTATCACTTCCCATTCATCAGCTAACGTTGAACGCATATTTTCACATATTAATCTTTTGAAAACAAGACAGCAAAATAGGCTGTCTACTGAATCAATCACATAACTGGTCCATTACATTCAAAACGACTCTTTTTTGAAATTAATTCGAAGATGACCACGGCTATGGCTAAAGAATATTGGTATAATAAATAGTTATAAGTATAACTATTTATTATACCAATATTAGTATTAGTATGATTGTTATAAATTAGTCTGTAAGTTTTTTTTAATAAATAAACGCATTTGATTGAATATTGTGGTAGCTTTCCAAATACAGCATTATAGCGCATTATGCGGCATAATGCTTAACGTTGAGTGTTCCAACTACAGCAACGCTTCGCACAATGAGGGCTATCGTTTTTTGTCTCACCAGATGGCGCCACTGTTGAGTGAGGTCCTGAAGTGTAACTTTTAAAGTTAGTAAACACGCTCGTGATATCAAAGTTTACATTTTAATACAAAAGAATCGTATCTTAAACATAATCGCCCATGCCACAGTGTTGCGCAGTCCCGTTTTGTTCGGAAAAAAGAAGGACAATATTTTTTCTTAGCTCCGCTTTTAAATAACTGACAATCATTGACACGTAACTCATATTTGCCATAATAAGTCTAATTTATTACCAAATATTCACAACTATTATTTTAATTAGAAAAAAACCGCGTAGTCAACCCGCAAGCTATAACATTTGACATTTCGGAGACCTCACGCAATACAAGCGCCTCTAGCGGCGGTTTCAGACGCGATAGCCCTCATTGAGCACTCTCAAAAGTAATGCTTTCGTGTGATGCGTGCAATCGTACCAACCCAGTGACAGAAAATTAACAAGTGTTTTTTCTTTAAGTTGGCATTGATCGAAATGTTTTATTTATATGTTATCGTAAGTAATATTATTTATTGTTGAAAAATTATTAAAGCTTTCGTTTCATTAAATAGTTTTTTTTAAACAATCAAAGTTAATTCAAACTGTTAAAAAAATAAATATAAGTATGGATGAAGGTACAAACATTGACTTTTTTTCAACACTGAGCTTAGCGCACTCTGCTGGTGCATTTGAAAACTAATTCACGTTCCAATTAAGCATCAGCATAATTCGGCATTGTGCGGCACTGAGTCGCATTATGCTCTGTAGTTGGAAAGCAACCTGTATTTATTTTTGTCAAATACCGATTTTGGGTACAAATATACCGATTTTAGCTGGCAATTCTACCGATCTCGCTCTATGACGTTCGAGACTACTGGGTGTAAGCTGTCTGTGTTTCATTTCATTGTATAAAAAGTGCTCTTTGATTGTCACAAAGAAAAATGCCAAACAATACAATGCGCAATTGAGTCCTTTTCACAAAGTACTGTTATTATAATTGACTGTAAACATGGGCGTTTTTGGTTTTGAACGCAAAAGGATATTTATCGGATTTCAGATTTCAAAATCGATTTTAAAATCCGTTTTTAGATATCCGATTTCAGATGTGCCGAGCTTAGCCAATTCACTAGTTTGTGTTATGATTTGGTTTTATTAGCTAACGACAATCACAAACAATTAATTGTACGAAGCAAGGATACTCATAGTTTTCGCGATTTTCCTTTATGCTTTAAATCTAGGCTTAGGCAAGAGTATATATTCTGTGGCTTAGGACTAGCAGAAAAGTTATCTTTACGGTTAAGAGTAAAACTTTTGCGGCGCATTTAAAAATCGGCTTATATACAATGAATTCTTTTTACATATTTTTTTAGTATTTTATTTTGTTTTTTTTTTATTATTTTTCAAACCATTTACAAAATCAAACCTAATTACATCAGGTTAGCGTTCAAAAAAATGACAGTTGCTCGACTTTCGATGTTTTTAGACGACATCTTTTTTCAGTAATAAATAATCCCGCCTTAGAGAAGAACCATAGATTTCCGTAAACAGCAAACCGAAATCGGACTTCCGAGCACGAAATCGGACTTCCGAAAACGAAAGCACGAATTTCCAATCCGATTTACATTTGGATACTTGTAGTGGTATCAGATCGCTGATGATTGATTTGATTTCTGAAATCGGATTTTCTTGTTGAGAAATCGTTCGGTATCGATTTATGCTTGAAATCGGATTTTGGATTCGTTTTGATATATCGGACGCATGCCTTTAATTGAGTTTACATTGCATAGAAAAGATTTCTTGCTCGGTGCATAGAAAGCACATAGAAAGTAATCAATCACTCCGTTTTATTACATTGTCAAATTATTTAATAAATTAGAAAAAAAATAGATTATTTGTTTGCGCTGCTACCCATCACCACCTCTAACTTAAAATTTTATTATTCTAAAACAATGAGAATAATTACTTTTGTGCGAAGGAGGTTGTCTTCATTTCCTACAAATGAGACGTATATGGAAGAAATGCAGAAAAATTTCATAGCTACAACGCCTTTTCAAAAAACATTATTATCATGGGGATCAGCAGCTATATCCCTATTGAATCCACACCGAGGCGATATGATTGCATGTTTAGGGGAAATTACTGGAGAGAATTCTGTCAAACATATGAGAGCCAAAATGCTAGAAACACCTGAAGGATCAGAAATATTGAAGGAAATGCCTCGAATTAATTCAAAAACTGTTTCTTTTGAAAAATTAATAGAATTGCCTGAAAACACCATAGGTCGTGTTTATGCAGAATTTATGAAGGATAACAACATTACTGCAGATTCAAGACTACCAGTTCAGTTTATAGCTGATCCAGAATTGGCATATGTGATGCAAAGATATAGAGAAGTTCATGATTTAGTTCATGCTACCCTTTTTATGAAAACAACTATGTTGGGTGAAGTAAAATAAACTATCACTTATTTTAATAATCTATACCAGATCAGGTTTTTATTAATTGCTAAAAAACAATGGGTACAAAGGTGTGTTATTTATTCTTTCAGGTTACAATTAAATGGGTAGAAGGCATTCAAACAAAATTGCCAATGTGTATCAATGGAGGTATTTGGGGAGCAGGACGCCTAAAACCGAAGCACAGACAACTGTACCTTAAATATTACTTACCTTGGGCTGTTAAAACTGGGTCTAATGCAAAGTTCATGCAAGGTGTTTATTAAAGTGAAATACTTACTAGACATGGAACATTTTTTTCTATTGTCAGGGCCAAGCTAATTCATTCATAATATATATGAAGTAATTCTTGTTTAATGAAAAAGCTTCAAAATTTTCCCATTTGTACCAAAACAGCTTAATGAGTTCAGTGGTTAAGATTGATTTAAGACATAAATGAAGACAATACGTTCGGTACAACTTGAAATATGACAGAGGGTGTTGATGGTTATTTTGCTCACACAGAAATGTAATGAATTCTGAGATTGTGCTAAAATTAAGGGTTTTTTTTTCAGGTATTTATTTTGAAAAGAGGTGGGACCAAGATATAGATGAATTTCATAAAGAAATGAATATTGTGAGATTCTTGAAAAAATGAATGCAGTGCTTTTTGTACATAAATGAGGTATCCACCTGAGTTTGTAAATAGTAGGGTTCAAGTTTTTATTAAAATAGTCATTGAAGGTTATTCTCTGTTTAATATTTGCCTAATGCCATATCTCTACTGGTAGGGTTTGGGAAATCCTATGGAAATGCATCACAAGTGTCTTACAATTATGTATATATAACTATGTGTGTGTGGGAAGCGTGCGCAGCTCTTACCGATGAACATGAAAGCTGAAGGGTAAATCAACAAGGCTGAAACGCTATGAGCATCGCACGCGACAATATACATATACACTTCCGGACACATCTATCGGCCCACTTCATGTTATAAGTGTTAACAATCTGTTGCAAAAACAAAGATTATAATTGGGTAATTTATTGATTTAGGCTTATGTGGAACTGAAAATTTAAGAATAACCTTGAAAATGTAAATTTAATGATTGAATTGAATGATTCTATGAACATGAACAATTTCAGCTATCAGCAATAAAGCTTAAAATTTATGTTTATCATACGGAGCAGTCATGTAATTCTTAATTATAGGGTGTTGAATTAATTTATAGCTTGTTTTTGATTATTGTGCCCAGCTGTCTGCTCCTCTATTTTTGTTGCTTTTCTCGCATTAATTCAGCATCCCTATGCTTTCTCTCTTGTAGAGACAAAATATAATTAACTTGGTTGAGTAATAATAATGTTTTTTAAAACACATGGAAAAGGTGGTTAGTTAATCAACTTCAAAACTGGGTAAAACTTTTTCTCAGTGTTACATTTCTTTTTAATTAGAGACCGTCAAAATCGTAGTGCCTGTGAGTATATATGAGTTATGCATCATCATCAACAGCCTATCCTAGTCCACTGCTGGACATAGGCCTCTCCAATTGCCACTCAGATCGATTTTGGGCTACTCGCATCCAGCTCTGCCAGCCACCTTGCACAAATCGTCACTCCACCGTGCCTGAGGACGTCCTACACTACGTTTGCCTAGACGCGGTCTCCACTCCAGAACTCGTCTACCCCAACGGTTATCGGTTCTTCGGCAAATATGGCCAGCCCACTGCCACTTCAGCTTACTAATCCGGTGGGCTATGTCGATAACTCTGGTTCTCTGTCGGATTACCTCATTTCTGATGCGATCCTTCAGAGAAACGCCGAGCATAGCCCTTTCCATAGCGCGCTGAGCGACTTTGTACCTGTGGACCAGCCGTACCATCAGTGTCCACGTCTCGGCTCCGTATGTCATCACAGGTAGGACGCACTGATTGAAGACTTTCGTCTTTAGGCACTGTGGGATCGACGATGTCAAGACTTGACGTAGCTTCCCAAACGCTGCCCAACCCAGCCGAATTCTTCTATTCACCTCGTCCTCAAAGTTGTTTCTACCTAACTGCAATGTCTGCCCGAGGTATACATATTTTTAAACAACTTCGAGAACGGCACCGTGTATTGCAATCAGTTCCGGTAGAACATGTTCATTGAACATGACCTTGGTTTTATCCAAGTTCATCCGTAGGCCGATGCGTATAGAAGAGTCAGCTAGGTCATTCAGCATTTTTTGTAGGTCCCGCAGGGTTTCTGCCATGATGACGATGTCGTCTGCAAATCGCAAGTGAGAGATGCGTTCGCCATTGATGTTGATGCCATGTCCTTTCCAGTTCAGCGTCTTGAACATATCCTCCATTGCATTAGTGAACAATTTCGGGGAAATAACGTCCCCTTGTCTCACTCCACGATGCAACGGTATGGGACTTGTTTGCTGATTCTGTACTTGGACAGACATGGTGGCGGCTTCGTAGAGACATCTAATCACTTGGATGTATCGCCAGTCGACTTGGCAACGCTGCAGGTGCATTAGTGAACAATTTCGGGGAAATAACGTCCCCTTTTCTCACTCCACGATGCAACGGTATGGGACTTGTTTGCTGATTCTGTACTTGGACAGACATGGTGGCGGCTTCGTAGAGACATCTAATCACTTGGATGTATCACCAGTCGACTTGGCAACGCTGCAGGGACTCCAGGACAGACCAGATTTCAATCGAGTCAAAGGCCTTCTCATAGTCCACAAATGCTAGGCACAGAGGCTGATTGTACTCTTCAGTCTTCTGTATAATCTGCCGTACTGCGTGGATGTGGTCTATGGTGCCGTATCCGCTCCGAAACCCAGCCTGTTCCGGTGGTTGGAAGTCATCAAGTCTTCGCGCAAGACGGTTCGTGATCACTCTTGAGAACAGCTTATAGACGTGGCTTAGAAGGGATATGGGTCGATAGTTCTTGAGAAGGGTCTTGTCCCCCTTTTTAAAGAACAAGACGACCACACTCCTACTCCACATCTCCGGAGTTCTCCCTTCGAACAGGGCAGTGTTAAAAAGCTTTTGGAGCTCCCTCAGTACGGGTTTACCTCCAGCTTTCAAGAGTTCTGTTGTAACACCATTCTCTCCAGGGGCTTTTCCATTTTTAAGCTGCCCAAGAGCAATCTCGATTTCGCCAATACTGACTTTTGGCAGGTCTTCGGTGAAGTGACGCGTTAATGTGGCTCTAGAATCCTCATTTCCGGGATCTGGTCGAGATGCATGTGATGCGTACAACTGGCCGTAGAAGTCTTCCACTTCCGAAAGGACTGCCGGCTTTGAAGCAACAACTTCCCCACTTGGTGTGGTCAACTTTGTCAGATGACTTCTTCCAAGAGATTGTACGAACACTTTGGACCCTCGATTCTGCTCGATTGCTCTCTCGATCGAGAGAGTATTGGAGCACCGGAGGTCATGTCGTATGTGCTTACTGATCTCTTGGTTTAGAGTCCGCTTTGCTGACGAAGTGACGGGTGGATTTTCACGTCGTTCCTTCATTAGCCCTAAAGTCTCTTCGGAAAGCATTGACTTCCTACCCTTACGCTGCGTTGCACATAATCTCGCACCCTCTTCCCTGAGGATCCCGAACCACATTTTCGAGGTTTTGGTTTACGTCTGATGTGGTTTCCACGGCAGCAAATCGGTTCTCCAGATTTGACTGGAACGTTTCAGATCCTGTTATAGATTGGAGCAAAGTAGGTCGGAGCCTGGATTTCATCAAACGGACGCGCTCGGCCTTAAAGTTGATATTCAGAGAACCCCGGACGAGTCGGTGATCACTACCTGTATTGAACCTGTTGATCACGGAGACGTCTCTGAATATATACCTCTTGTCCCCTGCCCCGCCGTCACTGTGGTCGCCACCGTGACCAGGAATAGCGGAGCTGCCGGGAACTGGGGGCCGTGGCTTGTGGTCTGTTTGCATTGAAGGTTTTGCCCGTAATCGCCACGCTGGGCAGGCGGGTTGGCGATCGCAGAACGTAGGTTAATTCACTGATGACGCTGCTGCCCGTCACCAGTGAGATTTCCCTCCCCTACGTCGTTGGATGGTTGGTTATACCGCCATCGGTCGGTTTGCCAGAGCCTCGTCTGTTGGTCAACAGGGTGCACCGCGTGAAGGTGAGGTTGGCTTGGGTTCTTGCAGGTGTATTTAGAACTCCTTACACCCCCATATTATGTTATGCATGGGTTGCCTCATTCTCCTATACCTTATGCACGGGCTATTGTAAGGTTTTTTAAGAAAAGAGGTTTCACTTCAGGTGCATTGGTCTGTGCACAAAATTTATTTCCTTTGGGTTAAGTAAGTTAAAGATCACCTAATGTAAAAACATCAAAGACCCCTTATGAGAATTTATTAGAACAAATATTTTTGCCATGTATAAGTACTTAGGAGATAAATTAATAACTTTACTTATTATTTGATGGAATATTATTCGAGTTAGTGAATAATATTATTGTAGAGTAAACTATCTATAATATTTTTATGTTCCAAGCTGCAATACGGTTAAATAAAACTATTTCAGGTTCCTTAATGATAGTTTAATAAAATCAAAATCATAATAACATTTCTGAACTACGTCCATTACAATTGTGCAGAGGAGTGATGCGATTTCCGATTTCAACGATCCACTCATACCACACTCTTCGTGTGTCTACACACCTCCAAAAAGTGGCAGTTATTTTTTCCCCTTTTTGTACACGTAAAGGCGTCTGAAAACAAATTTTATGAGAATTATAATCATGCTCTTATCCATGGATTAAAAATATAGGTCCATGCTGTTGCAATGCAAAATTGAACATAAACAACAAATCTCTTAAGAATATTAATTTCAGATAGAGATGGGCCGATTAGTAGAGAAAAGACCGTCTATTCGGCATCACTTATAGCCTGCGACTATTCGGCATATTTTAATAGAGCTACTCAAAACATAACTTTATTTTCTACACAAAAATATACACATTTCATTGTTTGAATTATGCAATGTATTCTGAATTAAAACAATGAAATGTGTATCTTTTCCTGTATTAAATAAAGCTGTTTGAGTCGCTCTATTAAAATGTGCACGCAGCGTCGCGTCGGTGTGAGCTGACCTATGATGTTTTATAGTCTGATGTATATGATTTTATATAATATAAACGTCATCGGAGCTGGCGCAAATACTTATTTTATTAATAGGGAAGATGCAATATTTTTATTTTTGTTTTCATTTCAAAGAATTCCATGTAGAATAAACCACAGATATATTAAAAAATTAAAACATTGTGATTTATCGGAAAACTTGCGGTTTTAAATTGACAATTTAAATTTTCGCGCGAAAACGAACCTATGGTTGCGATGACGTCACTCCTGTCTGTCACTGGTCGTAATTGTTCGTTGCTGGCTTTAAATTTTCATACTTTTGCATATTTTTGCGACTTTAGAAATATTTTTTTGAAAAATTTAAAATGGACTATCCATCAACATCATGTGATCATAACAATACCACTAATATTCCGAAAAAAAGCCGTGTTGACTCATGTTTTGTGCCAATCTACTTCAACAAAGTTCCCAAATAAATTGTTTTTGACTGGAACTTCTGACCCAAAACTGAAAGAAAAGTGATTTCAAGCTGCGAAGAGAAATGACAATTATTCTCCAAAGACCATTATTCGATGCTGAGAAGATCACTTTGACGTAAGTTGGCGAATATACTTGTTATATGCTTAATGAATCTGCTTGTACGTAAAAACGCATTAGTAACCTACCTAATACTTACAAAACTGTCTATAACATATTTTTAATTTTACAGTTGGAGAATGACGTCAAAAATTAGATAAAGTTTAAAATGTGTGGCACAATCTTCTCATTGGCAGGACTGAACCAAGCTTTGCGTTTCATTTAAAATAACTGTAACACGATAATTCTTTACATAGTTTATGCTCCGGAGAACTCGACCTTTTACTGTACATAATTTTCCATTTTAATTTGGACATAGCCGATTGCATTATCGCCGTAAGATTTGTAGAAGCCGCTGAATAAAATACGAATAAACTACATACCGTACCGATTTTTACATACCTTAGTAATATAGTCCCTTTCATTTCTACACTTAAAAACTCTGCACTTTCGACAAAAAAAGTTATAACCATGTCAACGCTAACTCTTGGTAAATTCCTGGAGTCTGCTTTGATAAACGCAACTTCCATTTTTATTAAATGTAAAAAAACGCAATAAATGTTCCCATAAAATAATATTTACTTTAACAACCATAACCTCAAAGAAGTTGTCATAACAGGAGTGACGTCACTAAACGCTGATTGGTGTTTTAAAATACGTTCCGTTTCAAGTATTTTTAATTCGTAATAATTGTTAAAAAACAACATTATGTAAAATAAAAACGTTGCAGTGGCATTTCTTTTATATTTTTTTAACATTTTAATCATAAAAATTTCATAAATATTATATATGCATCTTCCCTATTCTAAACAATACCTAGAGTATGTATCTAAAGTTTAAACATTTCACGGGTTAAAACCAAAGACATTTAATACACTAGTTCAATGTTTTATTTGAGTTTTGGAGCATTTCGCTGGCAGGCAGTTATATGGACTTTTAGCCAACATTGCCCACTACGATTTCTGACGACAGTATAGTCTCTACGTTAAAACCGTTGGAAGAGTTAAAGAAAAGATGGCGTTTACTTTAGCAACGTTTAAAGTGATAAACAGGTAAGTTTTCCAATAAAATGACTGGGCCCCTATCATTTTTCTCTTTTCCATACAATCTACATTTTTTTTATGGCAGGACACGGACAATCTGCATTTAGTAAGATGTAAGTACTAGCGAGTGTTAAAGAAGTATATGAGCAAGCAGAGTAGTGACGAAATATTAACCGGCTACGACCTGCGCAGACGAAGTCGCGGGCTGAAGCTCTAATATATTTTTTAACTCTAATTCTGTCATATACAAGATTTGCTCAATTTAAAACTATCTACACAAGTTTAGTCATTAAGATATTTATATTAAAACTCACCTTTATAGGAATAAAAACAGGAAACCATGAAATCATCCCTGGGCTATGTGTTGAAGGCACTATACTGATCATTTCATCTCCATACAATTTACAATCAAAGTAGCCACCAAAACCATGCATCACATTATCTTGTTCAACAATCCACGAGAGTGTGGTTGACCTACGGTTATCTGTCAACGGCAAACCTCTATAGTCTGAGATTTCTTGTCCCTCGTGATCTTTGTGACCGCGTGCCGGATGTTCAAAACTAAACACCAACTAAAAAAAGGATTATTTCTAAACAACTATAAATAATAATAAATATTTTCAACACTCACACCAATTAGCCTAGCTCCAAAGTAAGCACTGTAAGGCTTGTGTTATGGGATACTAGGGTAACGGATAGAATACATATACAGTACATATATAAGTATATTTATATATAAGTACATATTAAACATCCATGACTGGAGTACAAATGCTCGTATTCATCACACAAACATCTGCCCCCACCGGGATTCGAACCCGGGACCAAGGGCGTACCCATGATTTCAGCTAGGAGGGGGCAGCTCATACCTGTTTCGAGAAGATGGTCGGTCGGGTATATTGAAACAAAAAATCATGAAAATTGACTTTTATTAATTAGTTTGATTATGACACAAAACAAAATATTAAATATATATAATAATCATAATACACATATATTAATTTAAAAGTAATCTTCTCGGATTTGCCGCCGAAAATTTGTCTAAGACAGTCTTTTGAATAAACTCACTGTTTTCTTTTAAATAATTGCGATGTACGCTCATCAGACATAAACCCGTAAGCCTTTCTTCACCCATGGTGCTTCTAAGCCACATTTTAACTCTTCGAAGCGTACTGAAGGACCGTTCTACGGTCGCCGTGGTGCATGGGATAGTGCTTAAAATAATGCCTTTCTGACAGCAGGGTAAAAAATATTAGCTTCGTCGAACAGAACAACTACTTCTATATCCCTTAATTGATCATCTGATAAAGCATTCTTCATCCATAAATTATGCCAAAGGTTCAGTTCTCCAGTGATATCCAGGTTATAAAATTCTTGGAATGATTCTGCGTTCTTGTGTAAATCTGTAATGCTGGTTTTGGTCATATACAAGGGATGTAGCTTACTTAAAGCAAACGCCGGAGTATTTTCTTGGGAGAATCGAATATTCAACGATGAAATGAGTGAATCAATGTATGGTATTATCAGAGAACGCCGCCAATATTCGTTATCATTGTCAGATGGCGGATTACTTCTATGTGATGCTTATGAGCAAGACGTGGAACCGAAATTTCTATGTTCAAATCCATTGCAACAGCTCGCGCTTTTTGAAGCATTTTATTACTTATTTTATCAGGAAACTCGCGGTCATTTCTGAGAATGTCCTTGATATTTTTGATGTGTTCCCCCACCGAGATCATGTCGATCGATTTAGCTTGCAGTGCGTTAACTACTGGTTCTGAAACTGCTGAATATTGGGCTATTGTTTGTAGAGCTACAATAAACACTGGTTTTGTAACGGCTGAATGCAACTGATATGCAGATTTTCTGGTGGCATAATTTCCCTCTACGGATAACGTTTCTAGAGATTTCACAAGCTCTGGAAAATGTTGAGAAAACTTTCTGATTGATTTATATTTTTCGGACCATCTCGTCTCACACAATCGTGATAGGTTTGGAGCGTAGTTTCGACGAGTAGTCGATTTTCTGAAAAACGTTATAACATCCTTAACAGTGGCGACAGTATTTCTAATTTCTGGCACTGCGTTCGCATCATTCACAACAAGGTTGAGTTTGTGACTTGAGCAATGAAAATATAAAGCACGAGGATATTTTTTTCTCAAAATGGCTTGTACGCCACCCTCTTTCCCTGCCATTGTAGAACAGCCATCGAATCCAAACCCTACGCAATCTTCTGTTGGGAGGTTAGAACTAATCAAGAAATTGTCAATTGCTTCGGCAATTGCTGAAGCATTTTGTGCTTTTAGTTCAACGAATCCTACAAATTCTTCTCTGATTTCCCTTTTGCTTTCGTCGTAGAACCGCACGCCTATTGATAGCTGTTCTTTTCCAGCTACGTCTTCTGTTTCATCAGCTAAGACTGCGTAAGCCATGGTCTTCTGAACCTCACTTATTATATTCTCCTTAATAACTTCGTCACATAAATTAATCAATTCGTTTTGTATTTTTGGCGATGTGTAATCTGCATTGCGACGGCACTTTTCCAGGTGACTCTTTAATTTGTCGTCCCCTGAATTGATTCTCAACTTTAATAAATCTAATAAAACGCCCTCATCTGCTTGTTTTCCCCTAAGAGGCATATCATGTGTACCGCAAAATACTACACAAGAAATAATTGATGACAATATTTGTCTGTTTTCATCGATTGCTTTTTGGTGTCCACTTTGCAGTTGGATGTCTACAGGAACATTTTCAAGAAATTTTTTTGCAGCATTTGTCGCTGTTAGGTGAAGGTTGGTCGTTGCATGCTTTCGGCAGTCTTCATGCATATTTTTGAACTTTATATATGGCCTGACCATAAATGATCCCAAAATTCCTCTCACAGTGCTGATGGGCGGAGGGAACAAAACACAATGCTTACAAAGAGCGCCTTTTAGTCGCTTGGAATATACTAGCCATGGTGCATATTGATCCAACCAAGCATTATTAAATTTCCTTTTCAAATGGCTTGCATCACTTTCAAAATCATAATTTCTGGGCGGGATCCAAGGATGTTGTAACAACTCCCTTTTCTTTTCCGTCGATAGCTGAGTAGCCAACCCAACATAACGACCCAGATCATTTTCATGATAGCCATCGTCCACTATAATTTCAGGATCGACGTTGACGTCATAAGTTTGCTGGGATGTCGATGGAGAAGAATAATCGGCAACAGATATATTTACAGGTTCTGCTGGAGAATGTGACGCTTGTCCAATGTTAGCATGCAATGATCTTGGCATTACATGGGTTTTATCATGGTTGTCATTTTCATCGCTTCCTCCACTGCTACTATCCCGACCTTTTTTTTTTCTTTTTTCCCGTGTTGTCCCTAAAAAAAGGATACACAAACATAATTACTCTTACGGTGTTTAGGCATAGAACGAAAAAAAAAATTATGTGCCACGTTTTTAAAGCGGACTAAACAGTATAAAATAATATTTTCTAATGCCGTATAAATTGATCTAAGCATTTTAAATTATAATTAAGCATAAAAAGTAGCAGTCAATGAGAAAGCTCTTCTAACATGAGATTTCTCAACGACCGGTACTTTTTATCACTACCTATCTTATTTTTTTTTCTTGCACACGTTACCCACGTTTTTCGTTATACTTTTTAGTCCATTTTAAAAACGTGGTAAGTATATTAAAAAAAAAACAGCTTTTTAGTCATAAAAAATGTGTATTTTTTTTAAACTTTTAAACAAACAAGCAAACAAACAGACAGACAAGAAAACAATCTAATATTGTATTGTCATCCACTTCTGGCCTACAGTCAAAATTTCAAGTCTCTAGCTCATCTGGAGATCGGGAAGTTAGTTTAAAATCAATTGCCAGATTTGTACCGAACAGACAAACAGACAAGAAACGGACCTAATAAAAACGTGGTAATAAATAAAGATTAAGATACCTATAAAAACATCACATTCAAATATCAATTACTTCCTATACACTTACAAGAGAGCCCCCCTTAAACAAATCAAATAATCATATTACCATATTAGGTACATACATATGTGTTTTGTTTTGACTCACCTTTTTCAAAGAAATTCCTGATATCCATTTGATGGAGTAAATCTTTCCGTGTCGCCGCAACTAAACTATAAGACACTATTATGGCGCATTTAATATTCGCTCGTATTAAACTCCGAACTAAATTGAATTGTATTCGAAATTTCGAACTGAATTACCTTGCTCTGCCTCACGATCGCGCTTATATATTCAAATATTCTCGCTCCCGAAATACGTAGAAAATACTCGACTCTGTTGCCATCCTTGTCTCATACTTGCTACCACTGTCTTTACTTTCCAGAATAGTCCATGCTAGAACGTTCTTCTTTACTGGAAAAAGCACTGTCGAGTGTCGTCGTCCGTAACTAGATAGCGCTAGCGCTAGACGTTTTCTCCAAATTATATTCGGCTTTAATCCTAGATGGCTCTGATTATCTCGTCGGGAGCGGAAACTACGAGATACGACGGTTTCGCGGGAGATATAAATTATATTGCGTCGCTATTATATCGAATGTTGTAGAATATTTAATTATAGATAAAAAAAAATCAAAATATCTGACTGAAAAGATGTTTTGTTTCCAACACTTCATTTTGCGCAGAGTAGGTAACGTTTTTAATTCCCACTTGCCAGGAAAATTGACGTTTATTTTATCTTCTAGGGGGGGGCAGCCGCCCCCCCTGCCCCTACCTGGGTACGCCCATGCCCGGGACCTCTCGAGTCGGTGACACCATGAAACCGGCGTACAAACCACTCGACCACGGAGGTCGTCAAACGTCCACTATCAACTTAACAATGAGTTATTAGGACGATGATTTCAGCATGAAGATATTTATGAAACAAAGATAATAAAAATAATTATTTTCGTGGCTTATATTACGCGACATTGCTGTGTTTCCGTTTATGCAACACATCGGACACTACCTTTTTTTCTAATATTTCCTATTATACCTAATTTTTCTAATATACCTAACTTCCACACTAACCAAAATTACTTAAAAAAAAAAACGAGCGAGCCTTAGGGTACGGCCACAGTGCATGCAGGTTCAGAATCAGACTCAGAAAACAAGCGCGAGAAATAAACAGTGTAGTTTAAGCAGGTTGCCTGCAGCCACTATGGCCACCCACCCTGCTTAAACTACACTGTTTATTTCTCGCGCTCGCTATTTTCTGAGGGTTGTTTCAGGGTGGCCATAGTGGTGAGGTGGTAACGCTGAAGGTGAGGTGGTAACGCTGAAGCCGACGATGAAGTATCTGGGGCTAGTGCTTGATGGCAGATGGAAATTTGACAAACATTTCCAGCAGATGGCCCCGAAATTGATCAGTGCTGCATCTGCACTTGGACGAATACTGCCTAATGTGGGAGGCTCCAGCGCAAGCTGCCGCAGGCTCTACGCTGGTGTGGTACGCAGTATGGCTCTTTACGGAGCACCTGTGTGGGTAGATTCGCTAAATGAGGCAAACAGGGCCGAGCTAAGGAGACTCCAAAGGATTGTGGCACTTAGGGCAATAAGAGGGAATCGCACTATATCGTGTACAGCGGCTTGTGCAATGGCTGGCACGCCCCCCTGGGATCTGGAGGCCCAAGTGATTTCGGATTTATACCAAGGGAGGGCGGAGGCACTAGAGAAAGGAGAGCGAGCCACCCCGGAAGAAATGGTGCGGATCCGGCGGCAGGCAGAAGAAACCCTGAGGGAGGCCTGGAAGCTCCGGCTGGAAAATCATAGATGGGGCGTCCGAACCATAGAGGCGATCCACCCTGTTCTCGAGGGGTGGGTAGGTCGGGTATCAGGGTCGCTGACCTTTAGACTTGTGCAGGTGCTGTCTGGACACGGGTGCTTCGGGCAATACCTGCATCGGATTAAGAGGGAGGTAACTCCATCATGCCACGAGTGCGGGGCTGCGGTGGACACGGCTCAACACACCCTTGAGGAGTGTCCAACGTGGTCGTTGCAGCGTCGCGCTCTGATTGCGATAGTGGGAGGGAACCTCTCACCGCCAAGCATAGTGAGAGCTATGCTTGGTAGTGACAGGTCCTGGCAGGCGGTGGTTTCCTTCTGCGAGGAAGTCATGTCACAGAAGGAGGCTGCTGAGAGAGTCCGTGAGGAACAATCCCACGCGGGCTCTCTCCGACGTAGAAGGGTAAGGGGTAGGAGAAGGCGTGTTGACCCTCTCTTAGTTTTACCCGACGGAGGCCAGCGGGGTCCAGACTTGGGGAAGTCTGGGCCCTGCATTGCACAGGCCTTTGCCGTTAAATGGGGATGCCCCTAATGCCCCGGGGCATCCCCAAGATGGACGGGTCCGTTTGAACCGGACACTCACTGGCGGGGTTGCGGAAGCATCCGTAAGGGTTCCCGTGGCCTCGTCCAGTGCCGTTACCTCGCCGGGCAGGGTGCCGCCAGATGACGGTTATCCTGCCCGACGTGGCCACGGCCCAGCGGTGAGGTGAGGGGCACCGTCAGGTTTTTAGTGGGTAGGGCCCCCTTCCTCTTGGGCAGCCGTTGAGCCAGCCCTCGGACTGGCTGAACGGGTGGGCGAGAGGAGGAGGGGGGGGAGGAGTCCCACATAACCTCAGCGCACTCCCAAGGCGGTGAGGTATGCGTAACGCATTTTCCTGACGATAAAAAAAAAGGGTGGCCATAGTGGCTGCAGGCAACCTGCTTAAAATACACTGTTTATTTTCCGCGCTCTTTTTCCGAGTCTGAATCTGATTCTGCGTGCACTGTGGCCGTACCCTTACAGTAGTCGCGTATGATGTGTGTAACATTTGAAATCTCACCTTATATTAGTAAAAAAAGAATTAAACCTACTACAAAAGGAATAAGCCATTTGAACATTATGTTCTAAAATTAAATCAAATAGCGCGCGCTTTCGCGACTTCCTGTTACATACTTCCATCCCATTTCGGGGGGCGCAAGGGGGCCTACACAACATCTTTCGGGTCCCAAGCCCTCCCCTGCAAGCGGTGCGTCCTGCTGTTTATCAGACGAGGCCCTGGCGAAACCATCCACCAACCCGCACTGGACCAGCATGGTGGGTTACGGTCCAAACGCTCCTTAATGATAAACGCAACAGTGTCAGGGCCCCCAGTTCTCGGTAGCCCTGCTATTCCAGGCCAAGGCGGCGGTCTCGGTTACGGCAGGGCAGGGGGTGCTAAGAATCTCCGGGCTACGATAGGCCGCCAAAAAACACTAATCTTGGCTACATATAACGGTCGAACGCTAAGGCTCGACTCACATCTAGCTCAACTGGAGGAGGAGCTGAAGCACATAAGATGGCACGCTCGGGCTAAGCGAAGTCCGCAGAGAGGGCGAGGACACGCTGACCTTAGAGTCTGGCCATCTTATGTACTTCAGAGAGGGAGATAATCCGTCACAGGGCGGCGTCGGGTTCCTGGTCAACAAAGTCCTCACTGACAACGTGATTGAAGTCTCCAGTGTGTCGACGAGGGTTGCGTACCTCATTATAAAATTAACCAAAAGGTATAGCCTCAAGGTTATACAAGTGTACGCTCCTACGTCGACATACTCGGACGATGTCGTGGAAGAGATGTACGAGGACATCTCTCAAGCCTTACACACCACCACCAAGGTTCACTTTAACGTTGTCATGGGTGACTTCAACGCTAAAGTGGGAGTACAGACTTGCAGCGAATCGATATTAGGATCATACGGCTATGGGAGTAGGAGTCATAGGGGGCAAATGCTCGTCAATTTCTTAGAACGCGAGGGGCTTTTCTTAATGAATTCGTTCTTTAAGAAACAGCCCCAGAGGAAATGGACGTGGCGAAGCCCCGATACTATGACCAAGAATAAGATTGACTTCATCATATCGGACAAGAAGCGCATATTCAGAGATGTCTCAGTGATCAATAGGTTTAAAACCGGAAGTGATCACCGACTTCTAAGAGGCATTCTGAATATCGATTTTAAGCTCGAACGCTCTCGATTGATGAAGTCCACGCTCCGGCCAAATCTGCTCCAATCGGTCGTTGGTTCTGACGCATTCCAAATGAAACTGGAAAATCGATTCGCTGCCTTGGAAACCACAATTGACGTTGACATCGACGAGGAACTCGACCAAGTGGTAGAAATCCTTCGGGACGAGGGTGCGAAATTCTGTGAGCTGCGACGTACGGGCAAGCGGTCTAAGCTTTCGAAAGAGACTCTGGATCTAATGGACAAGCGGCGAAACGATCCACTAGTCACTTCGTCAGAACAACGGGCTCTGAATAAGTCCATCTCCAAGCTGATAAGACGTGACCTCCGACGCTCCAATACACTCTTGATACAGAGAGCAATTGAGCAGAACCGGGGGTCCAAAGTCTTCGTTACAACAGCTTGGAAGGAGCCACCTGACGAAGTTGACCAAAACAAATGGAGAAGTCGTCACGTCGAAACCGGAAATTCTTTCGGAAGTTTATACCTATTATAGCCAGTTATACGCGTCGCACTCGCCCCACCCTACGTCGGATAAGAGCGATTCAAGAGCCACATTAACCCGCCCAATGCACGAAGACTTGACGAAGCTCAACCTGCAGTGCAGGCCGGGTTCCGACGGGGTTATGGCACCATAGACCACATTCACACAGTGAGACAGGTTATACAGAAGACCAAAGTGTATAACCAGCCCCTGTGCATGGCGTTTGTGGACTATGAGAAAGCTTTTGACTCCGTCGAGACCTGGTCTGTTCTTGAGGCCTTGCAGAGATGCCAAGTTGATTGGCGATATATCGAGGTGTTGAGATGTCTGTATGACGCCCCTAATATGTCCGTCGCACTCCAGAATAGCCAGACCGAACCTGTCCTGCTGCGCCGTGGTGTGAGACAAGGAGATGTACTATCCCCGAAACTCTTCTCCGCTGCGCTGCAGGACGTGTTCGGAACGCTGAACTGGAAAAAACGCGGAATAAATATTAATGGCGAACACATCTCACACCTTCGATTCGGGGACGATATCGTCATCCTGGCTGAAACCCTGCAAGACCTACAGGAGATGGTGGGCAGCCTGGCTGAATCTTCCAAACGCATCGGTCTCCGGATGAACTTGGATAAAACCAAGGTCATGTTCAACGAGCTCGTTGATCCGGGACTGGTTGCTGTAAATGGAGTACCTCTCGAAGTTGTTCAGGAATATGTCTATCTAGGACAAACGCTCCGATTAGGCAGAAACAACTTCGAGAGAGAAGCCAATAGAAGAATTCAGTTAGGTTGGGCAGCATTTCGTAAGCTCCGTCAAGTCTTCTCGTCACCCACCCCTTAATGTCTCAAGTCGAAAGTCTTCGACCAGTGCGTCGTACCAGTTATGACATACGGCGCCGAGACGTGGACACTCACGGTTGGACTGGTCCACCAGTTTAAAGTCGCTCAGAGAGCTATGGAAAGCTCGGAGTATCTCTGAAGGACCGCATCAGAAATGATGTAATCCGACAGAGAACCAGAGTCACCGACATAGCCCACCGAATTAGCAAACTGAAGTGGCAGTGGGTTGGTCACATTAGCCGCAGAACTGACGGCCGATGGAGCCGTAAAGTTCTTGAGTGGAGACCGCGACTCGGTAAACGTAGTGTGGGACGCCCTGAGACAAGATGGGATGATGACATTCGTAGGCTGGCTGGAGTGGGCTGGATGAGAGTGGCAGAAAATCGGGAGCAGTGGCGTGCATTAGAGGAGACCTATGTCCAGCAGTGGACGAGCATGGGTCGATGATGATGATGATGATCCCATTTCACGTAATCACTCTATGGGAGTGATTGCAGGAAAGCTTGAGGAAAGATGTTACACATCAAAAAATATTGAAAAGAGAAATTTGTTCAAAAATAATTTACCTTCGTATCTGCTATGTCATGTTTATTTTGCATATAAACAACCCATAGAGTCTCCAGATTCTTGTCGTGTTGAACTGTTGTGCCCGACACGGCAACTTTAGCGGCGGCCCATAGCCTCGGTGATGATATCGGGGCAACGTATGAACTATAAGCACTCGGTATTGATATTCCTCCAGGTTTGAGGAGCCCCGCAGCTCCATCTAAACACTCTGGTGATAATTCATTGTCTCCCCAAGAACCTAAAATGTAATGAGGTCTAAATGAACTGCGATCAAGTTGAAAATAAATGCTGCAAGTTATAACTAATGAGTCATAAAGTACGTCACATGATAAGAGGGAGGGAGGGGGTTGACGAAATACGACATTGGCGAATGCTACACGCTCGATATGTATAGCGATATTTAACGTGATATTTATCTAGTAATATTTTCTTATACTACACACACGATACGAATCGACAGTAAATTTCATTGAGTACACTCGTAAGTTTCGTATTACAATATAAATAAAGCTATGAGTGATAATATAAAATACCCAAGACTTTGGATTGTTCATGGGGTTAACAACTTTTTTTCTATCAAATATAGTATTTTTTTAGAAGCTGTTACCTCTAAAATATAGTAGAAGGCAAAAATATGGAAAAACATTTATGTGATTAAAATATATACTTTATTTTTAAAATGAGTATATGTTTTGCTGCTCTATACCTTAATAATACAGTTTTTATTTTTAAGAAAGCTTTTATTGGCAAAAACCTGCTTTAAGCAAAATATAGTAGTTTCGCCTACTTTATATTTTTTTAGGAATATAAGTAGTATTTGATCCCCTAATATAGTAGGATACTATATTATATAGTAGAGTTGGCAACCCTAATTGTACACATTGTAGAAGCACCAGATCGCTTCGTATCGGTTATTTTTTTAATTCTTTCCTATTTAATTCGATTTTAATGAGTTTATCTTCGCAATGACATCTTTGGTAGTCGCGCCAGGTTTAATTCTTTTTTAATTTCAAATAGTTTCTCATAGGCATTCGCCCTTTTCACTTTATTTACAGTGTCGGCACTTGAGCTGTCCCATACCTCTGGTAGTGTTTTAACACTAGTATGAACTCTTTCAAGTGCTTTTGGTTGTTTGTATGAGGTACGGCGGGCGCCGACGCCTCAATATGCGCGTCCTCTTCCATCGCTGACAATATTAATACTGACGTAATAAATATCGATTAGAGATTAGACGTTCGATATTTATCAACGATACTTGATACAAATCGTGGATTTTAGGATTTCTAGAAATCCAGCGATCCGTACCACGGTATGTGATACTCTATACTACAGACTCGATAAATATCGTGATCCTGGATTACAATCCAAATATCACGATAAATATCGAGCGTGTAGCATTCGCCATTGTGTGACAAGGGGTGGGCGGCGGTCCTAAGTTTCAAGACGTCACATTTCAAAATCCTACTACCTTTTTTTGAACTATTACTATCAAAATATATAAAATAAATATTCCGTATTGTTAGTTAATTTTTGGAAATTGTTCCGAAACTGCTGTTTTAATAAAATGATTTGTAGTTGCAAAATATATAACGTTACACTAGGGAGTGGGGCTCATAAATTTAACAAACTGTGAGATGGACAGGGGAAGGGATAAAAAATAACAAAATCAGTGTGACGCACTTTTTATTCGCAATGAACCATAAGTAATTCACCATTTTCGTAGCTATGCAACCATTTGTTTTATTGAAGTATTTTAATGTCAAATGCAACGCCAGCGTCAAAAGTGGCTGGCGGCTTGAATGAAGCGCCTTTCGTTGTGGTTACCTATTTATGCTATGAACATACCTAAGACATGCGGTGGCGAAGGGAGTGCGTTCGTCATCGCCGTTCGTGTTTGAATAATCTCTTACATAAGCTGCGTTCGTTATTTGCGTCTGATCAATGTTTTTAGTTTGAATCGTTTGTTTATTACATCTAGATCTAGAGTATATGAACCGTTCTGTAATTCCGCTCAGATTAGTCCGACGTTAAGCTGTTTGCTCAGAGTATTTCGAGAAAGATTAATCTGGTTATCTGTCATGCTGTGAGGTTAGAAATTAATATGCGGTTGGTCGGGCCGTTCGGTAATAGCACATTTGCTTAGATTTATCTGTGATCATGTAACCAAAAATTCGTCGCCTCCGCGATGCAAATACTGAACGCAGCTATTATAAGCGAACACAGCAGAGGCAGAAGTACGAATTTTGACAGCTCCGTAATCGTATAGTTAACTTCATGCGATATAGTCCGAGAGCCGGCCGTATAAAAGTCCTATGGATCAGATACATGAATCATTTTTGGGGTATGAACAATAAAGCCATAGGTCTAGAGGTCGACACCCCTGAAGTTGCTTTATTTTGCCCGCATGCAAAATTATGACATCACTTCCGGTTTTTATTTTAGGTGTAATTATAATTTATGAAATACATCAAGAAAATTTATGTCGAACGAAAGTTTTTGATGAGTAGAATAGAAACGTCAAGGGTCGACAAGCTCTATTTATTCGCTACCTTGAGTCGACCACCATTGGAAATATTTCTTTTTTAATATATCTTAAGCCATCGAATACATGGATTTGCTTACGAATTTCTGAAACTAGAACCTCTCAAATGACTAAAAAAAATTGGTCGACACCTTTCATTTGCCCGGATCGGACTGTCGACTTAGTTTGAAGAATTAAAGAGCCTATGCTTATACATTTTATCTCTATGTATGTTTCATTATTTAATTATCTGCATATCTATTTCAAATACATTGATAATTTTTTTTCCAATTAATTCTTTGACTCTAACATTACTAAAAAAAATTGGTCGACACCTACATATCATATCTACATATTTTTTCTAAATACATTAATAATCTTTTTTTTTCAATTAATTCTAACATAACTACAATTTTTTTGAAATACTTACTGTACATTTTTCTTTTTCTTGTTAAAATTTAAGTCCTTAAGAATGTATTTTGTATTTCTACCTTAAGTCCAGGTAGCCGTTAACGTTTCTTCTTTTGTACCTGTAACGGTACAAAAGAAGTAAGGTGTAGACCAATTTTTTTTAGTAATGTTAGAGTCAAAGAATTAATTGGAAAAAAAAATTATCAATGTATTTGAAATAGATATGCAGATAATTAAATAATGAAACATACATAGAGATAAAATGTATAAGCATAGGCTCTTTAATTCTTCAAACTAAGTCGACAGTCAGATCCGGGCAAATGAAAGGTGTCGACCAATTTTTTTTAGTCATTTGAGAGGTTCTAGTTTCAGAAAATCGTAAGCAAATCCATGTATTCGATGGCTTAAGATAAATTAAAAAAGAAATATTTCCAATGGTGGTCAACTCAAGGTAGCGAATAAATAGAGCTTGTCGACCCTTGACGTTTCTATTCTACTCATCAAAAACTTTCGTTCGACATAAATTTTCTTGATGTATTTCATAAATTATAATTACACCTAAAATAAAAACCGGAAGTGACGTCATAATTTTGCATGCGGGCAAAATCAAGCAACTTCAGGGGTGTCGACCTCTAGATCTATGGCTTTATTGTTCATACCCCAAAAATGATTCATGTATCTGATCCATAGGACTTTTATACGGCCGGCTCTCCGACTAATACGATTACGGAGCTGTCAACATTCGTGTTAGGGCCTCCGCAGACTGCGTCTGTCTGTGCGACACTATACTTTGTGCCAATAAGAAGAATGCAAGACAATCTGTTCCTCTCGCACATGCTGTTCCAAGTTACGTGCGAGAGAGACAGAATGTCTTGCGTCGACATTTTCGATTCTGTTCTAGGCAGGAATATCTATATAAGAATTTCCTCTTTGACAGTTCCTTACTTCAATAAATTTCAATAAAATGAAAAATGTTGTGTGAAAAAAATAAGTAATTGTTTTTTTATTACCTAATAATTCGGAGACAATAATGTCGGCTTTAGGAGTCAAATTGATATGTCTCATGTCTCCCGGAATGACGGTGACGTCACGACCCCTCCATAATTCACGTGCTTGCGCGGCTAAAACTACGACGGCACAAGGGTTTTTTTCCACTGCAATCACCTGAATTAATTTTAAAGCTTTATTTATTATGAGAAAAAATAAAATAAATCGCCAGTTATCCCTTTATGTCAGCAGCAGCATTGGTTAGTATCATTGTTAACAAAAATCTAATATATAAAATTCTCGTGTCACGGTGTGTAATAGGCTAGTTGACTCATGTCGAATTGTATTAAATAAATGTTTATTTCTTAAAGTATTTGGTCTAAGGAACCTAAATATATCGATTTCACTTCATAAAAGCAGAAGATTGCTGTAGAAATTTAATTTAAAAAAATAATTTTTAGTCTATACTTTTTAAACACTAAAAACGCTGTTCGCCACATCCGCCATGATTTTGACGTCTCTTGTGGTAAACAAACAACTGAATGTCATTCGCATGTTACTGTAGGAGGATTCTTTCGTCTGACTAATTTATCTTAAAACACTTTTATCTTTACTTTTTTTTTTGAAAGAAAAAACAGTAAAGTTAGTTTTTTTTGACAAAACTAATTATGGATGCCGGCTTTGTGAAAACAGAAAGCACAAATCTGCCAAGAATTGACGCATTGATGGTTGGTGAATTTGTTGCACTAAACCCCGATTTCTGCTCTGCGGAGCAGAGAAACGACAAGGCATCTATGTAAGTACAGTGCATTTAGTATTACAATGTAGTAATAAACATAAAACTGATACAACATATGAATAAGTGTAATAAAGTTGCGTAGGTTAATTTCTTTCGGCACTTTCGCCACAACTTTCCTGGAGTCTTCAAGGATGTGTTTTTATATGCTCGTACAATACAGTAATGATAATTACTTTATTTTTCGTGGTATTTATTAGAAATCATGTTTTTTTGATTATAAACTCAGTTATAAGTAATTTTCTACGTGTTTACGAGTTTTTGTTTACCACAGTTCACGTCATAGCATAGATAATCTATAGCCTAAAATGGCCGACAGCGTTTTTGTATGTCCATGAAAAGTCTATTTTAAAATTAAAGATTTGTAGCTTTCTAGGTTTAAAAAAAATACAATACATTTTTTTTCGGTCTAATAGAACATTTATTAACCATTTAAAACCTTTTTCAAAAAGGGTCAACTAGCCTATTGAACTATGTACTCTGAAACGGTTCAACCGGTTTTCGTGTAATTTTATATGCATATTCAATAGGTCTGTGAATCAGACAACATGAATTTTTCATCCCGCTAAATGCTAAAGGTTTAAATAACCTTTAAATTTTTTTTGACAATTTTTTTTTTATTTATTTTTTTATTATACATCATACAAAAATACATACAAGCCTAAATTTTCACCCTTCTACCACCAACCCCTTTTTTTAATGGATGGCGGTACGAAGTTCGCTGGGACAGCTAGTATAATATTATATCATTGTTGTTAAAACCACAAAAAAACCAAACTGACTGATGCTCTCGCACATGCTCTAAAAGTGGCGCTGGGCTGGACATGTCTGCCGCCTTACAGATGACAGATGCTCTATAAGAGCGACAAAGTGGAAAGTACCCACAGGAATAAGGAGGGATTGCAGACCATACAAAACGATGGGCAGATGGCATAGTCGTCAGAACTGTACGAAGAAAGCCAGCAACAGGGATGCGTTGAAGGAAATGAAGCAGGCTTTCACCCTTTCAGGGGACCACAATTGAGGAGCTGGCAAACAAAACAGTATAATTACATAAAATTAAATTTTACAGGAGCTGTATAAAACTAAATGACACACCTCCAGTGAGCTTTTGCCATGGTTTTTACTTTGTAAATTTAGTAATTTTAAGACTGTTTTAGGCGGTTTGGATTGAAAACTATTTAAGTATCAAATTCAACAGGCCCAAAACCTCCGGACTGTAAAAAAAAAGGAGTTTGACCAGATGCATAATTATACCATTTAGTTCGCCAGCTCCTCAATTATTAATGTATAAGATCAACAAATTGTGTAAGATAGTTCAAATGTGGTAAAAAAAGGCTATTTTTTTTTACTCTGGCTTATAAAAAGTGGAAAATAAATACTTTTTAATAAAAAAAACAGACTTCTTAAACAAAACTACTAAAAAGTAAGAAATAATACGAATCTTTACATTTCAAATCAAATTTACATTTGGATTTGGTGCCATGCATGTTGAGAGATCTGAGTTATTGTTTACTACTTGGGTTGACAAGGCACCAACACTAAATCTTAATTTAACTTTAAATGTTGTTTAGTTAAAAGTAAAGACATAATTGTATGTACCAAACATCAATTTGATCAGTCCAGGAGATTCCAAGCAAATCAACTGTGACAAATAAACAACCAAGTGATCCTAAGGGTTCCGATTTTGCAGATTGAGGTATGAAACCCTAAAAATATCAACTAGTCTATTTGAATCATAATTACCTTTACTTTGGTGTTCGTAATATCTGCTGCATTTAATGTAGCTCGTACAAGTGGACCTCTACCGGCACCTAGTACCATTACTGTTATGGTCCTTTTATTTTTCTCAGTATCACCATCACCTTGACCAAATTCTTCATTTTCTGTGCAATTGCTAATTATTGTTCTCTGAAAAACATAAGTACTGATTACACATAGATAAAAATACAGTAAGTATGTCATTAGTGTTTTATAATTTAATTTCTATGATCCTATCTATACCATAAATACATTACACTAAATGACATTAAACTATTTATCTAAATACTACTGACCTCAAATATTAGTAATATTGCAATGGCTGTAATATTGACAAATAGACTTACAGGTTCCTTTAAGATTTGCTTCTTTTGCAGGTCCAGTAGAGCCTTGGCGATAGCTTTTTGATATTGATCATATTTCACAGGATCTTTTTCAAACACATTGTAGGTGTGAGTGTCCAGGTTGTCCGCAAGTGGTTGTAAAGGTATTTGAAGATAATCTTCCCAACTAAGAAATGCAAAACTTTTAAAGTAATATACCACTATAAAATGATCTATCTACATCACATAACAAAACTTGTTCCAGTGTTACAGGGATAATGAGGTTCATCACCCTTCATTCAATCTGGATGGTAGAATAACCACTTCTGTTTCTGTGGGTTGCATCAAGACTGTTTCTGCAATGTTTTTTAAAAAAAATCTGCACAAACAATTGTATGAAATAATAGCTATAAATGTTTTTTCTAAAGATTTCAACAGTAATCTAATCTAGTGTGAAATATCAACTCGTGGGTCCAGGTATAGTTGAGACATTAAGTCATAATAGTTGTCCAACCATGTATATGAGTATCAACTTACCCTCTTGCATAACTTAGCATAGGATCATCAGCTGGATTTGGCCGTCTTTCCCATAGTCTGTGTAAATATTGCAAATAGAACTCTAATTTATGTCGCCTTGCTCCTGTGACAATCACTTGGGCTTCATGTTCTACCATACTAACAACCAGCTCTTGATGAGCCCGGGATAATACAGGATAACTAGAAAAATAATTTGAACTAGTTATGACTACACAGTTCACAGAAATAAAATTTTAGGATTCATATAAAATACTAGCCATATAACTGATATGGAGTAATAAAGCTTTAAAAATAATAATAAAAGTTTCCCTTTCATTAAAAATAGCTAATAACATATATATATCAGCACAGCATAATCTTCAACCCCCATGTCCACTTTATTATCATACTAGTGGACCTAACAAATGTTGACAAGCCCAATAAAAAAAACTAAAGTCTGACTGCAGTGCCACCTGTCAGATGGAGTCGTTTTCTAAATTTTCCAGCATAATAATAATAAAGAGGAGCTCGATGGCGCAGGTGGTTAGCGCGTTCGGCTTCGATCATTGTAGTTAAGCAACTTTCACAGTGGTCGGTCATTGGATGGGTGACCAAAAATTTCTATCTTGAGTTCCTCCGTGCTTCGGAAGGCACGTTAAGCCGTTGGTCCCGGTTGCATCTGCAGTCGTTAGCACCCGCCGTGGTGGGTCATGGCCCAATCTCCCTATTCCATCCATAGGGAAGGCCTGTGCCCTAGGAGTGGGGACATTAAGAAACTGATGATGATGATGAATAAATAAAAAGTAGCCTGAGAGACTCCACGTCTGCACTAGTGTTAAAAATATTTGACATCACTACTTAAAAGGTTAAACAAGCCAATCAGATGATTAAATTGGTAAGATACCTACCCTTTTTTGTTGTTATGGAATATAGATGTAGGCACTATTACAGCTTTTACCGGTTCTCCAAGCCACCTCCTCAACAATTGTTGTGATGGCAAATCAGCTGATATCTCTAAGACAACTCCAACTCTTTTATCATAATCTAGTCTTTCATGGAATTTTGACCACCAGATCCAGGTCTCATTACTAGATGTGTCGTTCTCCTCATAATTTTTTACACTCCTGAGATTAGTATTTACTAATGGCACTTTTGCCCATATCAATGAGGGATGATGACTAGAATGTGAAAAAAAGCAGCAGAAATGTATAAAACTTGTTAACGTTACCATATATAAAATCACAAGAGAACTTTATATTTTCATTTTCTTTAAGTTAAACATACCAACTTTCATAGTACGATTGTAATATTCTAGCTAAATTATTGCTTTTTTCTCCAGTCAACGACAACATAATTGCCGGTAAGCCTAATCCACGGCAATAAGATAGTTCTTCATTTAAACAATCCTGGTGACGTTGTCGAATTAAAGGAACATCAGAATCAACGCTGAGATATGGAGATAGCTTGCCTACCAAACGGGATGTCCAGTCTTGAGGTGATAATATCATATCTGACCGCGTGAACCCGCCTACCTTACCGGTATTTAATACATGTTGCCGCCGAAAACGTGGATGCACGATGGGAACTACTATGAAAGAAAAATTCGAATGCAATGCCTGTGTCAAACATGCTTGTAAGTCTGGAGTTACTGAAAAATCTAAGCCGCAAGAAATATCCAATTGTGACATGTTTACTTTTGTGTGCTTTCACAGAATCTTCTTCTTGACTTTAATAATTTTTCGATGTGCCATAGATTTACGAAAGTCAAGTTTTTAGCAAGTTAACACTTTTTGTCTTTCTCAAACATTAGAAGCATGGTAAAATGGTAAATCCGACGAGATGTGTTTTCAAGTCACATCACATCCTGTCAAATTCATGTACTATTATTTTTACGTTCTTCCTTTTCAGGGAATTCAAAGGGAACAATGCCCATTCAACCTAGTCTTCAATTTTATTTATGTTATTTTTTTTATTAAAATGTGTATGTGATACATTCTTAAGTTTCTTGGAGTGTTTAGCACAAAATGCATCGAGTTAGTTTTCTTAATAAGCTTCTGTGAAGTACTCAACACTACAATAAAGTTCTCACGTCCACTTGACCAGAATAGTGTATATTTGCAAGATCCACTAATTATTCACTTGCGCAAACATTTAAAACACAAAACCATATAATTTTAATTTCACAATATTTACTATGAACGAATTAAAGAATAAATAAAATAAGATGCCAATCGCCTTCGATGAAACCCCGCCAAAAACACTGTCCTTTAGGCATGGGTCCGATATATCAAAACGAATCCAAAATCCGATTTCAAACACAAATCGATACCGAACGATTTCTCAACAAGAAAATCCGATTTCAGAAATCTAACCGAACCAAAACGCTAGCGATCTAATACCACCACAAGTATCCAAATGTAAATCGGATTCGAAATTCGTGCTTTCGTTTTCGGAAGTCTGATTTCGGTTTGCTGTTTACGGAAATCTATTGTTCTTCTCTAAGGCGGGATTATTTATTACTGAAAAAGATGTCGTCTATAAACATCAAAAGTCGAGCAACTGATATTTTTTTGAACGCTAACCTGAAGTAATTAGGTTTGATTTTGTAAATGGTTTGAAAAATAATAAAAACAAACAGAAAAACAAAAAAAATACTAAAAAAATATGTAAAAAGAAATCTTTGTATATAAGCCGATTTTTAAATGCGCCGCAAAAGTTTTACTTTTAACCGTAAAGATAACTTTTCTGCTAGTTCTAAGCCACAGAATATATACTCTTGCCTAAGCCTAGATTTAAAGCATAAAGGAAAATCGCGCAAATCTACGAGTATCCTTGCTACGTACAATTAATTGTTTATGATTGTCGTTAGCTAATAAAACCAAATCATAACACAAACTAGTGAATTGGCTAAGTTCGGCACATCTGAAATCGGATATCTAAAAACGGATTTTAAAATCGATTTTGAAATCGGAAATCCGATAAATATCCGTTTGCGTTCAAAACCAAAAACGCCCATGTCTACTGTCCTTGCGTGTCGTGACGCGCCAGAAGCACATCCGTTTCATACACTTATTTTAAACCCCTTCCACACGACACAATTTCATTGCCAATCTGATTGCCGATTGAATTGGGTACAATCTGGTCGTCCGTCTTCACATACACAACAAGATCGCCAATTTCAGTTTTATTTGTTGCCTCTGCTGAATGGACTTGTTTGTATTAGGATGCCTCTTACCAAGAAGCAAAAAATTGGATTAATCTTGGCTCTAACTACAAATATAGATGAGAAAAAAAAAGAAGACTGTGGACAAAACAATGGTTATTAAAAAGAAAGAAATTGAGTCACTTAAATGTAGTTATATTATATTTAAGTGACTCAATTAATAAACTTAAATATAGTTATACTTAAAGAGTAATATTTTTAAAGAAAATATAATTAGAAAAAAATCCACGCGGACCAGGCAGCAGACGGGACTCGAACCCGCACCCTTCGAAAACCCTTTAAAATATAAATGAGTTATATTTTCTTTAGATTTAAACATCAAGCTAATATTATTGCTATTTCTTCTTTCAAATGTTTAATACTTGTAAAAGTATTCCTTTGACATTGTGGGTTACCTATAATGCGAAGAGATGGCGTTGCCTTGCAACTTAAGAATGGCTGGAAGAATTTCGACGCGGTCCGTGATCGCCGCGGTAGCATAATTGGTCAGTGCATTCGCCCGGATTGCGAAGAGTGCGGGTTCGAGTCCCGTCTGCTGCCTGGTCCGCGTGGAATTTTTTCTAGTTATATTTTCTTTAAAAATATTACTCTTTAAGTATAACTATATTTAAGTGACTCAATTGCTTTCTTTTTAATAACCATTGTTTTGTCCACAGTCTTATTTTTCTTTTTTTTCTCATCTACATTTGTAGTTACAGCCAAGATTAACCCAATTTTTTGCTTCTTGGTAAGAGGCATCCAAATACAAACAAGTCCGTTCAGCAGAGGCAACAAATAAAACTGAAATTGGCGATCTTGTTGTGTATGGGTACGGCCAGAGTGCACTCAGATTCAGATTCAGATTCAGATTCCGAAAACAAGCGCGAGAAATAAACAGTGTAGTTAAAGCAGGGTGGCCATAGTGGCAGCAGGCCGCGCAGGTTTCGGAGTCAGACACTTTACCGGAATGTTTAGGTCATTCAGATTCTGAATTCACCAGCGCCGCTCGGCAGTGTTGCCAACTCGGATTTTGAAAAATGCGTAGGCCCGATGAGAAAATTACGTAGAATTGGTAAATTTTGCATATGAAAAGTACGTAGATCTACGTACTTTTTTCTGAGTGAAATGAAGAAGTTAGGTGAAACCGAATTAAACGAGTATTTTATTATACAATTTCTTTAAAAACGGGCGATAGAACAAAGAGTTCTTGGAGAAGTCGCTGCATTGGAAGCATAAATGCTTTCAACTATACCATACCACAGCATGGTAAACCATGCTGTGGTAGACATTTACTATCAGACACAGACACTGGTGGATGTCGATTCTGGCATGATTCTCTAAATTTAAAACTAAATTTAACATCAGTCTCTCCTTTTCATTCTTTATAGAGAATGACAAGGATACATTGTTGTTAAATAGGCTAGTTGACACTTTTTGCAATTATGTTTTGAAATGTTAATGATTGTTCTATCAGACCGAAAAAAAATGTATTTTTTTTACCTACAAGACATACAAAAACGCTGTATATTCTATAGACTTATCTATGCTATGACGTCAAAACATTTGTAAACGAACACACGCAAGCACGTAGGAAATAAACTTTCCGAGTTAATATTATAAAACCATGATTTCTAATAGATCACATGAAAAATTTAGTAGTTATCATGATACACTTGGTAAAAGACTAGAAAAGTTGTGGTTTAAATTGCCAAGAGAAAAAAACATACTTCATGAACACATGTTTAAAACTTGCTAAATCCTGTAACTTTATCCACTGAAAGTCATTTTTTTTGCAAAGATCAATTCGATGTAAGTACTCATTGAATAATATTACAGTTTAAAAATACAATTTTCAAGGTTATGAATGTTTTTTAATAACCAAAAAATTTTGTTTCTTTTTATAGTTCGCCATAATTTTGTACCCTAATTGAGTGGATTATATAAATATAATATTTGTGATAGTATAGTAAATTGTAAATTAAAAGCTGTGATTGAAATTTTAAGTTCTTAAGAGCAAACATATATAAAGTCTTATATTAAACAAAACTGCTATATTATTAGTCATTATCTATGTTTATAATTTTTTTATGATAATATTTACTTTAAAATTTTAAAGTTTAACATAGATATGCAAAACTCATTATATAATAAAAAAAATGTTATTTGTCATTAAAAATAATTTCATTAACATAGCATTTTTTTGTATTATTAATGATTGTTCCTACATATACTATAAACCATACAAATTATTCAAATTACACTACCCTCGCGAATCCAGATCCAGCTTTCCGGTTAATCCGGACAGTCTGTTCCCATCATATCCAGATTAGTGAGATTGTAATAAATTCTTACCTAATGGTTATAACAAGGCGTTCTTCTGGAAGAATCTTGTGTTTGTGCAAATTACACCAATTCTTCATCATTTGAGGTTCACATTTTTTTAAAATGTAGTAGAACGTTTCCACTTCCATCCTAAAATATTGGAAGAAACGTTTCCTATCATCTTTGAATTGGGGAAACAAATGGTGGTATTCCCCATATTCACTCCTTAATTTATTAATTTGGTGAACACCGATTCTCTCGCGTTTTAATTTATAATGACAACTATCAGTAGCCATTAACAAGCACGCTAGATCTTCATTAGAAAATTCCATGTTTAAGTTTCTGGATCAACGAACATATAACAATGTACTCTATGACTCCGTACGCGTCGAATGAGAAAGAGAGACTGTTGAATGACTGCCGATTGCGACTTTGTACAGATTAAAAGTTTATGAAGTGGTTTTATTTTTAAATAAAAATGTAATAAAAAAAAAATTCCGTTTCGCCCAAAACAAAATTTCGCTTTAAAACCCCCCCAAATATCGGGTAACTCCCCCCCAACCTGGCAATAGTGCTCGCGTCCGCGTCTTGTAATCTGCCTCCACTGTGGCCATCACCTGCTTTGCTCAAGCTGACATCTCACGAGCCTGCTTTCTGAATCTGAATCTGAATCTGAATCTGAGTGCACTCTGGCCGCACCCTATGTGTAGACGGACGACCAGATTGTACCCAATTCAATCGGCAATCAGATTGGCAATCAAATTGTGTCGTGTGGAAGGGGTATACGTATACATATAAACATTATACTAATATGTTTCGACATGACACGACACGTCCTACAAATGTTTCTAACTATAATAAATGTATGATGCCCCCTCTAATCGTCGGCGGATACGTCCGCGGACGTCGCCAGATGCATCAGCAGATGGATCACCACGAGCCGACCACCACACGTCTGACGACGTTTGAAGGTCATTCATGACAGACACACACAACATTAAAAAAATAAATGTTGAGATTATTTGATACTGCAATTATTGCCGGTCATGATGCCGGTTTTGAACCAGGTCTTTAATCTCTGTCTCACTACTGGTGTATTCCCTAGTGTTTTAAAAGGGCAATTGTTCACCCTATTTTTAAAAGTGGGAATAGAGACAGTGGTGTCGAAGTGGTGTCGAAGTGGTGTTAAAACTCAATAGGCTAGTTTACTCATGTCGAATTTTATTAAATAAATATTTATTTCTTAAAGTATTTAGTCTAAGGAACCTTAATATATCGATTTCACTTCATAAAAGCAGAAGATTGCTGTAGAAATTTAATTTTAAAAAATATTTTTT